TTCAGTCACTTTATCTTTTGGTTGGAGCACTTAATTGTTTTCCATCTAAGGTACTTGTTGATAGAAATATAGTTGTTACCATTCTTTATTCCTGTTTCTGATACATGTTTTTTCTTCTTAAAGAAGTCCCTCCAACATTTCCTGTAATACTGGCTTGGTAATGATACATTCCTTTAGCTTATTTTTGTCTGGGAAGCTCTATAGCTTTGCTGGGTAAAGTATTCTTGGTTGTAGATCCTGGGTTTTCATCACATTGAATATTTTTTGCCAAGCCCTCTGTCCTGCATAGTTTCTTTTGAGAAATTGGCTGCCAGTCTTATGGGTGCTCCCTTGTAGGTAACTAACTGCTTTTCTCTTGCTGCTTTTAAGATTCTCTCTTTGGATTTAACCTTTGGCATTTTAATTATGATGTGTCTTGATGTGGGCCTCTTTGAGTTTCTGGTTTTGGGGACTCTCTGAGCATCCTGAGGTTTTTTGTTTATTTTCTTCACCAGGTTAGGGAAGTTTTTTATCATTATTTCTTCAAATAGCTGTTCCACATCTTGTTTTCCCTTGGGTACCCCAATGAGATGGATATTTTGACCTTTAATAGTGTCCCATAGGTTCCTTAAATTATTATTATACTCTGGGCTTCTTTTTTCTTGCCATTCTGATTGAGTGTCCTTGGCTTTCCCATTCTTTATGTAGGTCATTTGATCCTCTTCTTTTTCACTTTGTTTTTTCCATTTCATATACCTCTCATCTCAGATAATGTACTCTTCATTTCTGACTGGTTCTCTTTTATAATTCTATTTCCATTTTTATGTTTGTTTTTTTTTATCTCTTTGTTGAAGTTCTCACTGAATTCATCTACCCTTCCTATAAGTTCATTGAACATCTTTATTTCCAGTGTTTTTAACTCTGCATCTGTTAGATTACTTCACTCCATTATATCTGGATCTCTGTTTTGTTCTCTCTCACACATGGCTTCTGCTTCTTTGTCTTCCCATTTTGGCTGCCTTTCTGTGTCTGTTTCTATGTACTAAGCAAAGCTCCTAAGTCTCCTGGTCTTATTAGTGTGGATCTGTGTAGTAGGTGTTTAGTGGCACAGTCCTGTGAGGGGATCACCTGCAGGTCAAATTTAGCCCAAGCCTGTGCCCCTTTGGGGCTGTCTGTTAAGATTCAGCATGCAGTCCACAGATGCTGTGCTTATAGATGTCTCAAAAGGCCACACCAGAAACCAAGGTCAGCTGCCATCAGTGTGAGTCTTAGCACTGCTCAGCAAGGAGCACCTGACTCACTGAGGCTATACTTGGATGTGGCTTGGGTGGAGCCCCGAGTTGGGGCAGGCGGGGTTTCAGAAAATCTTCTGCGCAGAGCAACCTCTTTTATCCAGTTTGCTGATGTATCTGCTATGGTGGCACTGAGTCCATGCACTGGGAGGGGGAAGGATTCAACAGAGGAACAGTGGATACTGCCGCCACTTCTGCAGGTGGAGGAGAGCCTCACTGCAGCCCTCAGACAACTCAGTGTTGCCCTGTAACTTCTTGCACAGCCAAACCAGCACTGGTTCTCAGAATGGACAGGTTCATCACTGCGGAAGTCCTCTCGCGGACCCGGCCTCTTTAAGAGGTGTCTGCAGCTACCACAGCCTCAGTCTCACTCAGCTGCTCGGGACTGGGCAGCCTTGCGTCCTCAACCCGTCCTACCTTCTGCCATTGCAGAGTGATTTCTTGGACTTCTCCCTAGTTGTGTGGCTTGTTCATCCCAGGCGATTATTTTCTTGCTGCTACTCCTTGTTTTTGTCACAACTTTAATTTGATCGCCAGAGGGATAAACAGAGCCTCTATCACTTACACCATTTTTTTCCCCTCCACCCTGTCCTTTTCTCTTTCTAACCACCTTTGCTTGTTTATTTTAAAATGCTTTATGGTGCTTTTTAATATTATATTTAGAATATAATTAGTAAAAGTCTATTTTTCTTTACTTAGTTCTTTTTTTGTTTGTTTTCTTTTCTTCGAATTATTTCTGATAAAGCATGTTTCAGTATTTCCTTCCAGAAAATAAAAACTCTAAAACAAAGCTTGTGGAAAGATATGATGCAGTATTCATTTTAAATTAACCTATGTATCTGCAACAAATACACAAGGAAAAGAAACTTTAAAATATTACAACTCCAGGAGGCTTAGATCAGAAGAAGCTGGTCTATTCCAGTTCTTTTTCCACTGCCCTCACTTCTAGTATTCTATCTTCCAGCTTTGCTTCTTGGTGAAAATGTAGGAATAAATTCTTTATTAGAATATGAAAAATATAAAATAACATTTCTAATGCATTTAAAGACAGGTTTTATTGGCCTATCAAAATAATATTTTGTTATTTTTTCATGATTGTTTATAGATAATCTTTCCATTTTTTCCCCCTTAGAATTGAGAAAAGTTCCAAAATCTTCAGCTCATCTACAACATAAGCCTAATGAAAAGGAAATTCTTGTGGCTGACACTTGTGATCAAAGTCAATCTTCAATGGCTAGTAAGCAAGAAATTGAGATTACTTATAAATTTAAAATTCGTGGTTATTGGTGAGCAAGAGTGGCCAATAGTCTGAATTAGATGATATTTTAAAATATTTTTCATTAATTTTGTTTGTATTACTACTTGCTTATCGTCTTTTTTATATTAGAAAGTAATGTTATTCTATTATTCATATTAGTATCCCTATCCATATGAATATAAATTGCTAATAATTTGTATTAATCTGGTTTACTCATTGACTCAACAAATATTTTAGTATTTCCTGTATACCAGATCCTGAACAAAACAAAGCCCTTAACCTCATAGAGCTTAGTTGGGGGAAAAAATAAATATATGTTAGGTGGAAGAAGCAAGTTCTCTGAAGGAAAATAAAGGAGGGTAGGCAGAGATATTAGAAAGCCTCACTTTAAAAGTGATATTTGAGCAGAGACTCAGGGAAACAAGTGTGTCACGTGGCTATCTGGGGGAAGGGCATCCCAGGTAGAGAAGTCAGCAAGCACTAGGGCCATGAGGTGAGAGTGCTGTTTGGTTGGTCAAGGAACCTTGAGGAGGCCTATGTGGCTGGGGCAGGGTGAGTAAAGGGAAAATTGGTTTGGGCAACTCTATTCTTTAGAGTGGTTATTTACTGAGAGGTAATAGACTGTGAGCAGCAGATTCGCAGGATAGGGTTGGGGGTGGTTAGAAATCAGGAGCTTGGTTTTGAGAGTATTCTGTTTGAGATGCTGGATAGACAGACATTCAGGTAAAGATTTTGGATAGGTAGGTAGCTATGAGTTTAGAGAAGTCTAGGGTAGATGAATGGCATTTTTAGTATGTAGGTGATATCTAAGCCATGAGATTGGATGAGATTACCAAACAAGCAAAGTGTAGGTGGAGAAGTCCAAGTACTTAGACCTGGGGCACTCCATTGTATAAAATAGTAAGTCTCACTTTTTTTTTCATTATCACTCCCACCCTGCCTTTTTAGATATTTTTTTTCCTCTAATCACTTCCCCCATGGAATTTTAACACTGCAGCTATATTTTATGTATGTGTGTGTGTGCGTGTGCGCGCGCGCGCGCGCGTGTGTGTGTGTGTACGTATATCTTGGATGATTAAAAAAAAAATCTCTTTTTATGTTTAAGGCACAGATATATATATATTTTTTACCCCTTTGGAGGCAGTATCGCAACTGCAGAAGTGGTGATTTAGAGGTGGTTAAAATGAGGAGGAATCAACAAAGTAGCCAGTGAAGGAGCTGCCTGTTAGATTTTTGTATAAATATATGTTAGCTTAAAACTTAAAAATTATACAGTGTTGAAAATCTCTCCCACAAAGTATGTTTTCTTGAAAAGTATTATAAATATGGTTTGATATTTATACTACATCTTAGGTCACAGTAAATCTATTATAAATATATATGATTTTTTCAGTGGCAATAAGAAAAATAATCTACCTGTTGCATTTAACTCATTTAGGATAAGTAGAAAGCGTAGCTGAAAAAGTTCAAGTGTAGACTCTAGATATCTGCAACTTATTGCCATGTGTAGTAGCTATTTTGGCCTTTTTTATACAAATTTTAAAAATTGTCCAGTGCCATCTTGTCAAGTGGTTCTTTGAGCTTTTTATTCCTTTTTTGTATTTTTTTATACATCTAGTGTCTACAATTGTATAATTGTTTATTTTTTCTTCCTTATTTAGAAACATGTGGAACAAGCAGTTATCCCACTGACAAGTCATCTTTTAATTTAACTACAGTTGTTGCCGAGACACTGGGACTTAGTGTTCCAGAAGAATCTGTAAGTAGTTGTTTGGTGATATATGAATTAATTGGTCAGTTTTTAGAGAATTGAGCAAGAGAAAAACTAATTTTCTTCCAGAAATTACTGGTTAAAGATCTAGAACAAAATTGATGTTGCTAGAAAGGCCATTTTATTATCTACCCCAAGCAATCCCAGACATCTAGATAGTCTTTAGTATTCTTGGGATATAAATTGTGAGTTAAGTCAAAATTTAGAGAAGTGATAATGGCTTAGAGAATTTAGCCAGTGCTATTTCTCTCCCCATCCCTTCTCCCAATTCCTACCTTGTTTCATCTAAGAGAGGACTTAATAAACCTATAAGTTGATTTCAGAATTTACTGGCTCTTTTCAGTATCCTTTAAACTGGGGCTTGATTTGAAAAACAGGCTGCATTTTTGGGACTACTATATATACTTTTGTTCTTTGTCCTAACAAGTGCCAATCCAGATAGACCTCATTCTTAGGGTTTGGGTCAGTAATTGACCCCTTGATTTTTTCATTATTTTAGTACTTCCTTGCATCAATCACACTTTTTTCTCAATTGATCCCTAAAAATACAAAACTTGAATTCTTCAATCTTAAGGAAGTTTCACTTTGATACAACTAAAATAGTATTCCTTTGCTTTAGTTAGTAAATGTATATATGCTCTTATAAAATTGTCTTCCTATTCAGTTTGTAAAAATTAAATTGTTTTTTTCATTACATTTGAATTTCTTTTGTTGTAGTTTTAAATCTATATTCAAGTGATGGTAGTTTTTAGCTTTTGAACTTTAAATGTGTTTTAATGGTTTTTAATTCTGTCCTATCCATAAGCCTGACAAGACAGTAGTTTAGACACCTAATGAATTAAGGGAGCCGGTCTCTAAGGACTTGCTGCTCAAATGTGATCCACAGGCCAACAACATCTACAACATCTGTATCTCTAACAAACTACAAAGTTTGTTAGAGTTACAGAATCTTAAATGCTACCCCACACCTACTGAAAGAGAACTTGGTGTTTTAACAAGATCCCCAGTTGATTTGTATGCATGTTAAATTTTGAGGACCACTGCTCTCTAAAGGATCCTTTTAAATTCATCTTCTGTCAGTATAATCATTTCTTTTCTCCTTCCTCTCATTTTAATAATGTTGGTTTTTTTTGGGAGGGGGTGGAATTTTATATGCCAGTAATAGAATGTACTTACCTAAAATAGTAAAATATTAATGTTTTTCTCTCTTTAAACTTAAAATTTTCTTCATTTTTTTATTGTGATGAAATGAACATAATATAAAATTAACCATTTTAAGGTGTACAATTCAGTGGCATTTAGTTTATTTACAATATTATACAACTACCACTTCTGTCTAGTTCCAAAGCATTATCATCATCCCGAAGGAAAGCCCTGTACCTGTTAAACACTTAGCCTTTATTCACCCTTCATTACCCACAACTCCTTGCAAACACCAATCTGCTTTCTGTCCTTATGGATTTACCTGTTCTGGATAATTTATATAAACTGAATGATACACTATTTGGCTTTGAGTCTGCCTTTCATTTACCCTGTTTTTTAGGTTTATCCATATCAGCATGTATCAATATTTCATTCCTTTTTAGGGAAGAATAATCTTCCATTGTATTTATATACTTTATATTTGACTCTTGAAGGAATCTCAGGGTCCCATGAGCCCTCTTGGTGATGAGCTCTACCACTGTCTGGAAGGCGATCACAAGAAACAACCTTTTGAGGAATCTACAAGAAATAATGAAGATAGTTTACGGTAACTTGTGGCACTTTGGTAAAAATTTATAAACTGGTGAAATCCCATTACAATGAGTTCCATATAATTAAACCACCTCTCTCCCTCAGCATATAGTTTGTTATTCTGGTTATATTAATTTTTATTTTAAAAAAATGTCTCCTCCAGTTTATGATCACTTGAGGGCTTTTTGCAGTACTGTAAAGGGATGGATATTATTTTTAGATTCTTTATGTACTTTTATCAAGCAGTACTTAAGAGTTCCCAGCCTTGTTGCTCTGCCCCTTTAAAGACCCAGTCATCCCTCTGGGTATGTATTTCCAAAAACAAGAATGTTGTATAAAATGCATCTGTGAGCTTGGATGAGCTTCCAAGACAGTGTTGCATCTTGTTTTTACTAATTTCAGAACATCTATTAACTAATAATACCTATATATTAATGTAGCATTTTGCTTTTTAAAAGAGCTTTTGGTTTTAGATACATATATGACATTTAATTTGTCATAGTAACTCATTAAAGTAGGTTTTATTGCCCCCATATTTTACAATCAACAAAAATATAGCCCCAGAGAGGTTAAATGTCCTGTTAGGCCACATGGCTATTAAATACTAGAAGGAGAACTCTTACGCATTCGTGTCTACAAACTTAAACCTAATGCTATTTCTACTATTACAGCTGTCTCCTCTGTTGGGGCAGGCTGGGTCTTAATTTTTATTCAGTTCTATAGTGTAAGAATTTTGTTTCTTAGAGTTACTCATGACAAGATTTCTTAACAACAAAAGAAGTTGGGTCCCCAGTGGTATTTATTAAAATATGACCTTTTAATATAGTGAAGTTATTTAAATTATTTAGGAAAAATAAGTTGTAGTATCATGGTATTGAGATAGGTTTCCTGTATCGTTATTCTCTGCTCTTCGTCAGCCTAATGAAAAAAAGCCAGCAGCTATATCTTGTTTTAAATGTTGGTTAATCATCTTTCTCTAATATGTGGATAAGACCTTACTATTAATAATTCTGTATTACCAAACATTTTGCTTGTCTTTTAATTTCTACCTGATTTATATCGTCAGAAAAAAGTTTTACCACTCTTTATTTTTTTAGATTTTCAGGTCCTAACTCAAAGACTCCTCCTCAAGAAGAATTGACTACTCGGGTATCATCTCCTGTATTTGGAGCTAGCTCTAATGTGAAAAGTAGTTTTGGTTTGAATACAAGTGTGTCCCCTTCTCTTTTAGAGACTGGGAAAAAAAACCATCTGAAAACAGTACCTTTCAGCCTCACTTCTACTTCTAATTCTAGAACAGAGAATACTAGATCAAAATCAGAAGATAGTGCCCTTTTCACACAACATAATCTTGGGTCCGAAGTGAACAAGATCATTAGCCAATCATCTTCTAATAAGCAGATGCTTATAAATAAAAATATAAGTGAATCTGTAAGTGAACAGGATAGTACTGATCTCATTAAAGATGTTTTTACTGATAAACATGTGGTACCCTTGAAATCACTGGGATGCAGAACATCCAAAAGGAAGAAAATTGAGGAAGAAGGTGAAGATGAAGTAAGCTGCCCACAAGCCTCTTTTGATAAAGAAAATGCTTTTCCTTTTCCACTGGATAGTCATTCTTCCATGAATGGAGACTATGTGATGGATAAACCTCTGGATTTGTCTGATCGATTTTCAGCTATTCAGCATCAAGAGAAAAGCCAAGGAAGTGAGACCTATAAAATCAGATTTCGGCAAGTGACTCTCTATGAGGCTTTGAAGCCCATTCCGAAGGGCTGTCCCTCAAGCCAAAAGGCCTTGAGTGGGAGCTCTGTGCTAACCAAAGATTCTACAGAGGAGCCCCGTTTACAGGAGTGCATCCTTCAGCCCTTGAGTAAATCCTCTCCAGATAATAAAACACCATTACAAATAAAAGAACAAAATCCTATCTTTAAAATCCCTCTATGTCTACATGAAAGTTTGGAGACAGAGAATCTTCTTGATGACGTGAAGGTTTGTGTTAAATGTTCAAGGATTTTGGTTTAAATGGTTGTTTGTGATTTCTTCTAGATACTAATAATTCTTTCTGTTTTAGGATGCTGGTTCTCAGGAGCCAGTAAGAATAAAAACCAAGTCAGTCCATGGAGCATGTGAACTTGCATCAGTTCTTCAGTTAAATCCATGTAGAATCGCTAAAACAAAGTCTCTACAAAACAACCAAGGTATGTACACTATAAACAGTACTTCCACTCTTTATATTATCTTGATATATTATTTAATATATTAAATCTATATTACCTTAATATATACTATAATATATAATATAGTAATACCTTAAATATATTATTTACATTCTTTGTTGGATTGAATTGCTTTGGGAAGAAGTATTTTCTTACTGCATATTTCAGTGTTTCTGGAATAATTCTCATTGGGTTCATTTTACCTATGATTTTCCTCCTTGTGTTTTTTGAAAAAGATTGAGTTCTTTAATACCCACTTTTATAGATGATTTTGTGGATTTATGTATTTTATGTAGTTATTTCTTATTTTCATCACAAAAGCTTTAAAAATTTTATACAGAATTTTAAAATATAGAATTTTCATTATCCATACTGTGTTCTTTACTCCATTGATATCTTGTCTTTTTTCTTTGTATTTACCTGTATATTTATAAACATTTATATACATTTATATGGGTTTTTTAACTTGCTTTGAAAACATTATTTGCTCTAACATGTATATTCATCTTTTCATAATTTTATTGTGTTTAAAAGGAGTCTTGGGTTTTTTAGCCACCAAATATTTCTGTACTTCATATGCAGTATTTTTTCTTTTATTCTTCATTGGAAATTTATTCCTTCATCTGGGTTATATTTTCTTTTTTCCGAAGCACATTTTTTAATTGTTCTTCCAACAAGATTTTCAGTCTCTGTATAAAAACATTTTTTCCACTCTCATTCTTTTTTTTTTAATGGTTCTAGGGCTTACAATGTATAACTACTTACCCTTTCATAATCTACTCAGAGTTAAAATTGTACCACTTTATGTTTTGTAACTACATACTTTATGTGGTTGTCATGTATGTCTACATACATTGAAAACTCCTCCAAACGATGTTACAATTTTAACTTTTAAAAAAAAATTTATTGGCATAAAAATCACATATTATAGTGTACAACTCATTGATTTTGGTATGCTCATAGAGTTGTGCAGCCATCATTACATTAGAACATTTTCATCATCCCCAAAATGACATAACCCATTAGTAATTTTTCATTCTCTATCACTCCCTAATCCTAGGCAACCACTAATCTACTTTTATCTCTATAGATTTTCATTTTCTGGAGTTTTTATTTAAATAAATTATATAATATATGATCTTTTGTGACTTTTTTTCCTATTGTACTTTTTTTACTATTATAAATAACGCTGCTATGAACATTGCAGTACAGTTTTATGTGGATATATGTTTTCATTTGTGTGTGTGTGTGTGTGTGTGTGTGTTATATAGTTGTAGACTTGCTGGGCCATATGTTAATTCTGTGTTTAACCTTTTGAGGAACTATGTAACTGTTTTCCAAAACAACTACATCATTTCACATTCCCACCAGCAGGATATAAAGGTTTCGATTTCTCCACATCCTCACCAACATTTGTTATTATCTGTCTTTTTGATTCAAGCCATCCTATTGGGTGTGAAGTGGTATCTCATTGTGGTTTTGATTTGTCTTTCCTTGATGGCTAATGATATTGAATATCTTTTTATGTGCTTATTGGCCATTCATGTATCTTCTTTAAAGATCCTTTGCTTATTTTTAATTGGGGGTATTTGTCTTCTTCATCTAAAGCCTTGATTTTCTAAACAAGATATTGAGTTGTGAGAGTTCTTTATGTATGCTAGATACAAGTGCTTTATCAGACATGATTTACAAAACATTTCTCACAATCCGTGGAACCCATATATTTTAAAGTGATGAGGATTTTTTAAATCTATTTTTAATTGTGTATTTTTTTCCTCTTTATCTAAGATGTATCCTTTGAAAATATCCAGTGGAGTGTAGATCCAGCAGCAGACCTCTCTCAGTATAAAATGGATAGTACTATAGTAGATACAAAGGTAAGTTAGAAAGTAAAACCAAAGCCCATGTGGTTATTCTAGTAAGCTCTTAGTCACTCTCCTGACTCACTCTGTGACCTTGAGATAATCACAAACCTCTTAAAATCTATATTTATTCAGAAAAGTAAAAAGTAAAAATGCTTATTCCTCCAATTTTATAGTATCTTTGAAAAAGTATTAATACTTTCTGACTTTAAAGGCCTTTGCTAAAAATATTAGAGCTTTTAAATAATGCAAAATGTGAGTTTTATATTTTAAATAATTATTTATCAAAATAATTCATCATATGCCTCGATTAGCTTTTAAAATAATGTACTATCAAGAAAAAATTTTATTTTCCTAGTTGGCTAGATTTTAAAATACTAAGTTTTTTCTAAAAACCTAAAATTCATAGTGGAAATAACTTTTGGGGCTTGTATATATGTTCTGTATAGTTCGAGGAGTTCTCTTTCACTTGGTAGTATGTTAATAATAGTATGTAACAGTTGTTAAAATAATATATATCAAGAAGTCAGATTTGATTTATGAAATTGTTCTTTATGTACATTGATGTTCATTACTGAGACACACTGGCAAATCCATGAAAGAGATCCTCAAGGGAGTTCAGTGGCATATAACTCTCCCGTCTTTGGCAGCAGTCCTTTTCCTAGGCTTGAGAGAAGGTGCTTTTATATTGAAGCTAAAATGCTTTACAGACGATAAACCTGAATCTGCTATATTCCTAAATGGTAAAGTAAATATAACTTAATGCTACTAAAGTGTACACTTAAAATATGGTTAAAATGGTAAAATTTATGTTATGTATATTTTAGCAAAAGTTGTTTTAAAAGTAAATATGAGGTCATAAAGGGATAATTGTTAAAATTTTGAATTTTTAAATATTCAGGATGACAGTCAGTCAAGATTAGCAGGAGGAGAGACAGTGGACATGGACTGTACATTGGTTAGTGAAACTGTGCTTTTAAAAATGAAGAAGCAAGAGCAGGAGGGAGAAAAAAGTCCAAGTAAGATTTGATTTTTTTTTATTTTAATAAAAGTGTGGAGGGAAGTTTATAGTCATACCATTACACTGATAAACATAAATGACCTCTTCACCATAAACCAGGTGGGGTTTTTTTCCCCTGTCTGATAGCATTAGATTTCTTTTATTTAAGCTCAGTTTCAATATTTCAGGGAAAAAATCTTTAGCCAAAATAATTTTTATTTCAGAAAGAATTCAGATTGTTTCCAGGGGTCAGCAAACCACAGCCAGCTACTAGGTTTATACATAAAGTTTTATGGGATCACAGCCTTACTTGTTCATTTATGTATTGCCTATGGCTGCTTATATGATACAGCAGCAAGTTGATAGAACAGAGTTGAGTAGTTGCTACAGAGACCTTATTGACCCCAAGGCTTAAAAATATTTACTGTCTGACCATTAAAAAAAAAAATTTACTGATTCCTATTTTAGATAATTTTTTAAATAAAAGATATGAAAGGGAATCTTGAAAGTCCTGTTTTAGAAATATGATTCTCCAAAGCAATTTGATAAGGCAAAAAGAGAAGATCCTACTAATAGTATAGATTTGCAAATTAGCAGTAAACTAAGAATAATGATAGTGTATATGCTGTTACTTTGCCATTTTCTGCTTCCACAGAAAAGGGAATTGGGCCATATAAGGGGTCTACAGCCCTTTGTGGTGAGAAATTCTTCATCTAAAGCCTTGATTTTCTAAACGAGGTAGGAACCATGGAAGGATTTTTGTTGGTACCACCTTAGCAACATTCCTAACTAAAGAAGCGTATGACGTGAGATCAGCTAGACTGGGACTAGTTATCATTTATCACCCTTACATGTTGAAGGTTTAGGACCGGTCCCATGGGATTACAGTGCTAAAAGTAGAGGCATTTTCCAGCCATTATCTGTTAGAAACTGAGGCCATTCAGACTAATTGCATTCCCTTCTTCTGATGAACATTCTGTAATCTGCCTGCTCAGGGACAAATAATAAAACAGGTAGTCTTGTCCTCACTTCTTTTGAAATACCTTATGTCTCACTGCCCTAAATGCAGCAAGTGAGAAAAATTTTAATACTTGGCCTTAATTCTTTGTTCTTTAGTAATGAATAACTAACTCTCCATATGAACAAGTAGCTGGCTGCCTAGGTTGTGAGAAGACAGTGCCCATTAAAAGAAAAATCTTAACAGTGATTTATTGTCTTTTTATAATGAATGCCAATTTTTGTCTTAAGATGATACTTTCTTTTAAGATTATTTTTTACAATACCCCTCTTAATAAATGTTTTCCTCCTTTTTCTAGTAAAGAGGAAAACTGAAGTATGACTACTTTGGCTTCAAATTTATCTAGTTGATTCAAAGAACATGGCAGTTTCCCAAATATATTGGAAGCAAGTCTCATGTAGAAGTGAGATTAGAACTCGAATTAATGAGTGAAGATAATTATGGCTAAATAAGGTGTTGTGAGTACTAGAGATGCATAATAAATTACTCCCGTAACTTAGAGGATTAAAACAACAATAATCATTTTCTTCTGTAGTTTCTGTGGCTCAGGAATTCAGGAAGGGCTTGACTGCGCAGTTCTGTCCCAAGATCTCTCATGCAGTTGTAGGCAGATAGTGGCTGGAGCTGCAAGAGCAGAGCGCTAGACAGATGGGGGTGACTTGGCATTTCTCCCCTTATTCAGTCTTAGTTCTCCATATGTTCTTTCCATGTGGACTAGTTTGAGCTTTCTCATCACACAGAGACTAGTTTCCCAGGGTGAGCATCCCAAAAGAGCAAGATAGAAATGCATGGCATTTTATGATCTGGCCTCAGAAATTGCATTGTGTCACAAAGACTTGCCTGGGTTTAAAACAAGAGAACATTGCCCTCACTGCTCAGCAGGAGGAATGCCAAGGTCACATTGTAAGAACAGCACATGAGAATAGATATTATTGAGGCCATATTTGGAAAAAGATAATTTGTTTTACTCATAAGGTAAACCTTTTTAATACTTAAATTGGTTAAAAAGGAAATATACCAATAAAAACCCCCACTTGCTGCTAATATTTTAACTCAAAAATATTTTTTACATCTCCACTTTGTATTAGACTTACTAGATGCTGTGATAGATCAATAAGGATATAGTCTCTTTCCTCAAGTATTTCACAATCACAAGTCAGACCAACAAAAAAAATCATCAGCAACTTACTGTGATCTACTAACAGCATTTAAAGAATGCTTTGGGAATGCCTGGCACACTGCCTGGCACATAGAAGTTCTATTTTATCTAGAAATTTGACCGTCAAAGTGAAAAATCAATAAATGTTTAATCATTTAATAAATATCGAGCTGCAATTCTATACCAGAAAGTGTTCCAGGAACTAGAGATAATATGTAAACAGAATAAAAGTACCTGCTTCTTGGAATTTACATTCTAATAGGGAAGAAACAAGCAAATCTGTGGTGTGCTGGATGATGGTAAACGCTAGAGAAGGATAAAACGGGGTTCTCCCCTTATTCAGTCTCAGAGCACCATGGATTAGGGGGTGGGGAGGTAGTAATTATTTTGTAATCTCAGCAGGTTTCTGTTCTATAATATTTGTTAGTCAACTGAATCTACTTCTTTTTTTTAGTAAATTCTGGTGTGGTTTTTTTTTAATACGATTATATATAATAGGAAATGTAGTTAATACTCTAAAGATGAGTTTAGCACTTTGCATCTCAAATATGGAATTGAAGTCATTATATCTATCAACACTAAACTACCAAGCGTAAATGTTAATGCAAGAAAATACTTTTTTTGTTACCACATTAGAAAAATAAGCATGTAAACCAAATTCTGTATTTTAATGTCAGCTATTTATACACATTTTATTTAAACTTAGTACTTTTTATCATTCATTATGATGTATTTTTTATTCACAGTTTCTTGGGCACAACTCCTTTTGATTTAGTATGAATTATACATGAGCTGATAGGGAGGAAAAGATTTTTAGTGTTTGTAGTGAAAATAACAAAAACTAGCATTCTCTTCACATGAGTAAAGGACATTTCAAGCCTTAACATAAAGCTTTTGTAAAGGTACAGTTTTGTGGCACTTACTACAAGTTTCGCATTGGTCTACATAGAAAGCAAAAAGTTTGCATGTTGCCCTGAGCCAATGTTTCTTTACATAGATGGAGAAAGAAAAATGAATGATAGTTTGGAAGATTTGTTTGATCGTACAACACATGAAGAATATGAATCCTGTTTGGCAGATAGCTACCCCCAAGTAGCAGATGAAAAGGAGAAATTGTCAACTACCACAAAGAAAGCAAACAGTAAGGCTATTTTCTTTCTAATTATGGCTTCTCGGTTACACTGAGTTCAGTAAATAAAGTCATAAAGCGAATTAACATAGACTTGATGAGGTATGTTAACAATTTCATGTTTCTTGTAAACTTTTCAATTTTTTTGAGGTAATTTTAGACTAATAGAAGAGTTATGTAAATAATTCAGAGGGTTCCCCTGTACCTTCCACTCTGCTTCCCCTTACGTTAACATCTTATATAATCATAAAATATTCATCAGAACTTAGAAATTAATCTTGATACAATACTATAAATTTCTTTATAACATACACATAAAGTTTATAAAAGACTTGAGAAACCGTTTTGTCTAATAATAATCATTATAATAGAGTGAAAAGAAATTTTTGCAGAAAATTTAGACCCATTTTCTGTTTGAATGCTTTACCTTCCCAGACAAAATAATTATTGTAACTATATATATCAGACTTCTTAAGATCCATTTTATGAAAATCAGTAGTTTATAAAGCAGGGTAACATCTAAAAGAGTACTCTAAGTGAAACTCTAAAGTAGATGATCTGAATTGAAAATTTGTTAAAATTCTTGCTAAATATCTCATTTTCTTACTGTCCATTTATCTCATTTTCTTACTGTGTGTAAAATGGGCAGAATTTTTAATCTTGTGCAAAGGTTATTTTTTACTGGTTTAAATGAACACACCTGCTATGGTACAGTCTATCTTGATTATGTTTTCCTTGTGCTTCCATCAGGTTTTTAAAATGACAGGTCTCATCTCAGTGAATGAGACCCTAACCAAAGATATAGGACAGCATACTTTGCTTGCTTAGTCTATGGCAAAAACTTGATCAAGCAAATTTGATTAATAAAAATCTACAACTGTTCAATTCACTTTTTTCCCCCAAGAAGATTCTTTTTTAAATCGATTTTAATTCACCAGGACATGTTAATATTACTAGACAATCAAATGGAGGTATTTCATAGGCAATTTGATGTGTCGATTTTGGATAAGAAATCCACAATAAAAAATGATTTGGGGGACAAGAGGGCAACAGCAAGTAGATGGTACTTAAAGTTGTGACACTGAATGAGATCACCAAAAGTGTAGAATATAAATAGAAAAGAGAAGCATTTCAGGTTCTGACCTCTGGGGTATGCAACATTAAAAGGTGAGAGAAACCAAGAACCAGCTAAAGAAATTGAAGAGGAGCTGCAGCTTTTGAAGTAGGTGGGAAATCAGAGTCTATGCTGTTCTGGAAGCCAAGTAAAGAAGATATTTCTGTATATGTATTACTCCCAGCCTCATCCTCTTTTTTCTGAACCCCAGATTTGAATCCTACTACCTACTTGATATCTTACAAGCCCCTTGAACTTAATATATTCAAAATAGAAATCTTTATTTTTCTATCCAAATTTGATCTTCCCTGCCTTTCATTAAACCTCAGTAACTATCCTCTCAGTTACTAAAGATAAAATTGTGAGAGTCATATTTGACTTTTTCTTTCACTTTACCGTCATTCCCAATGTAGTACTCTGGCAGTCCTATCTCCAAAATACATTCAATGACACTTCACTTCTCTCCATCTCTGTAGCCATTGCTCTAGTCAAACCACTCCTATCTCTACCTATTCCGTCATGCCTCCTAACGGGTCTTTTTATGTCAGTTATTTTTCCTTTCTAGTTTGGTCAAAAGTGATTTATTTTAAATGTGAATTGGATTATGTTCTTGCTTAAAAACACTTCAGCGTAAAGAAGATATTTGAATGGCCAGTAATTGTATAAAAAGATGCCCAGCATTATTGGACATCGGGGATAGAGATACCACTTCACGCCTGCTCAAATATTTAAAAAGACTGAAAATATCTAGCATTAGCAAGGGTGGAAGAGCAGCTGGAATGCTCATATATTGCTGGTGGTAGTATAAAATTGCACTTTGGAAAACAGTTTAGCAGGTTTTTTTAACAGCTTTTCTGAGATGGGTCAGTTTTTTATAAAGTTAAGCATATACCTATCCTGTGGCCCAGCAATTCTTCTCCTAGGTATACACCTAAGAAAAATGAAAACATGTTCACAGAAAGATATGTTCAAGAATGCTTATAGCAGTGCTATTTATAATAGCTCAAAACTAGAAACAACTCAAATGTCCATCAACAAGATAAAATATAAATTGTGGTATATAATGAATACTGCTTCTCGACCCAAAGGAGGGAACTACTAGACTCAGTAACATGGATGAATCTCCAGAACTTAACTAGAGCTAGAAAAATGCAAAAGATGAAAAGGAATACATATTACATAATACCATTAACATGAAGTTCTAAAACATGCATGACTAAGCTATGGTGATAAAAATCAAATCAGTGATGGTAGGGGACGGGAGAGACATGAGATAACATTCTTGTGAATGAGAAACAGTGGAATAAAAGGAAACTTTCAGGGGTGATGGAAATATACTCTGTCTTGATTCAGGTAGCAGTTATAATGGAATATACATTTGTCAAAATTCATAGTACACTTAAAATCAGTGTATTTTGTATGTAAATTATGCCATAATGAAGTAGTTTTTTAAAAAGTCTTCAGTGGCTTCCTTTTGCATTTACAATAAAATTCAAACTCCTTTTGGCCTCCAGGGCCCATCCTGATCTGGTACCTATTCTCTTGTCCAACCACATCTCCCCCAACACCTCCCTTTTTCACTAAATCTCAGCCACCCTGGCCTTCTCTTAGTTTTTATAACATACCAAACTTTTTCTTATCTCAGGACCTTTACCTAGAAACATTCCCCACTCCTACCTCTTCTTATGGCTGATTTCTTGTTATTCGTAAGTTATCACCTTACATGTTCTTCCTCAGATAAGCCTTAACTGTCTACTTGTTTAATGTTTACCTTGTCAGCTTGCTTAATGTCTGTATCTCTCACTGCATGTAAACTCCAGGAAGACAGGAGACCAGATCTCTCTTGTTCTACGTTTTATGTCCAGAACTTAGTATAATGATTAGTAAATGTTGATTATTTGAATAGGTGGTAACAACAGTTGGCTCTTTGAGTCTAGACAACTGGGGATTCAGGTCCATGAGCTCTAGTTGTTATTTCATTACCAGTTTTCTAATAAAATTATTTAATCTCTTTATTTCCTAGTTATTACCTACCTTAAAGACACATTATAAAAAAATCAACAGAACTAATAAGTAAAACATAATTAAAGCTGTCTTATTATTTGGTGCCAAATGATAATGAGCATCTGAGTAGTTCTTTTAAAGTCTAAAATACTTTTATAAAAGTCTATATAGAGAGACTTTCATATATAGTTTTTTAATCTAAAATACTTTTATACATATGATTTTTCTCCTGTTAGTAACTTTGAGGTGAGATAATCAGCACTCTCTTCGTTATACAGATGAAAAAAAAGGGGGAAATTAGTTATAGAAAATGTAAACAAGTTGCTCAGGGACCTTGAGTATGAAACTCAATAAAAATGGAACTTTTGGTACATGTCCTTCCCCCCCGCCAAAAAAGCTAATTATTTCTCAGTAAGTTTTGCATTCAGTTTGTGATATGCTTGTTTTGTTTACAGCCCATGGTGATAAGCAAGATAAAGTGAAACAGAAAGCATTTGTGGAGCCATATTTTAAAGATGATAAAAGGTAAGTTGGTGTTGATTAGTACCAGCAATGTGATTGGAAATATAACAGAGCTATCCTTGTCAGAGTATCTCTGAACTGTTAAAACTGTTACTGTGGTTAAAATAGAATGCATATCACTTACTTTATGACCATAGTAAAAGTAGAAGTCAAGCTTCATAAAAATGATAAATTTTACAAATAAGGAAATTTTTACCACTACCCTTTTTTTGACAATAGCAACAGCTGTTTTCTCTGCTTGAGATAACAGATATTTTATTCTTATTTTACCTTATTGTGAACTTTATTTGAACTTTGGAAAATTTTTTAATTGTATACTGTAACTTTTATATAGTATAAAACTTTAGATAACAAGACTTAGGTTGTGCTTCAAAATTATTTTATGAGGATTTTTAAACCTTTAAAAAAACAAATCTTTAAGCATCTTGATTTTAAAACATAATGCCACATTCTCCCTTTTGTAAAATGATTGCAAATTCTGTTTATTCCAGAGTCAACTTCTGTTTATTCCAGAAGTAAATTAAAGTAATTAATTCCAAAATTTTTTATGCTTTTTTTTTTTTTTTAGGTTGTGATGTTAGCAAATTGAGTCACTCAGTAAGCTAAGTTAAACTTTTATTTCTGTTGGAAATTTTAGAGATCTGACAGGCCAAGATATTTTTTTGATGCCTGTAATACTCTCATAGATAAGAGATGTCATTGTTTTGCTAAATGACACTTTAGTTGCCAGTTTTCAAAGAAATAGTGTCTTAGCATCATCTCAAATGTGACTGAGTAGTTTTTTGTTTAAGTATCATTATGAATTCATGGATTTAAATATATTTGATGTGTTTCGGTCTTTTACCATTGTCATCCCTATTGATACCCAAATTGTCCCATCTTTGTCCAATGGAAGCCTCTTTGAAAGGATACTACCTTAGTCTTTCACAACTTTCTTGTTTCCTCTGTGATAAGATGTTCTAGGCTCTCATGCACACTTCCTGCCATAGGCCTGGAATCTGCCGTTTCTCCAGGAGCCGTAGTTTCTTTTAGTGATGAGTGATATTTAGGCCACAGTCTTGCTGCTAGGGTTGCTCATTGCAGTGGTTAGTCATTGTTTCTAGACCTTTTAGGTGGACAGAGTTAAAAATAAAGTTTTTGTTTCATTTTTTCTTTTTTCCAGGTAAACTACACTTATTTATACTGATAGCTTCAATTCAAGTTCAGGACTAAAGGATTTTTATGTAATCTCCTGTGTCACATCTGTATCTCACCTACTGAAAATTCCACTTCTCAATACCACCACCATCATTCTCCATTTAACTTTGTTACACAATACACAAAACAATCTCGGAATAATACAGACTATTACCAATAATATGATTTATGAAAATGATTTAAGCCTTTTTGTGTGTCTTTTTGTCCTTAAGAGATATCAGAAATATACAGCCAAATCACTGTGTTTTAAAGTCACTCAGGATAATTATTTTCTGTGTAATTATGCCACCAATTCAGTATCCAGGTTTGTTTTATTTTGATTTTGATTTTTTTAGGAATTTTTTTTCTTTTTACCTTTAATTCTTTTTAAAAATTAGGTAAATTATGTACATGGTACCAGAGGCTACAAAACAAGGTAGATTCAGATAAGTCTAACTTCTTATCTGTTAGCTTACTATCCCCAAAGGTAATCATTTGTTAAAAGTTTTTTATTTTCCATCCATTTTAAAAAGTTAATTTTTTTAAATTAATTTTTTTATGGCGACATTATTTAACAAAATCCAATAAATTTCAGCTGAACATTTTAACAGTAAGGCATATACATATTTACACCGTGTGTTAGAACCAAATTTTTATCTACGTACATCTATATCAATATAGATATAGGTAGTCACATTCTCTTCCCTTAAATATGGAATGCAATATATGCTTTTCTCAGCTTTTTTCATTATACTGTATGTCCTGGAAATCACTCATAATAGTATATAGTGCTTTCCCCATTTTTTTTTTT